AGTATTAATGAATTGAAATGAATAATAACATGACCTTTTATACATTTTGATGTGCAGAACTCGAATTTGAAATCAAATTTTGTCTAACTCGAAAGGTTTTAGAGTTATGACATGAAATTTATTAGAAGGCATTAATTAAATACTGAAATATCTAAATTGTAGTAAAAAATTGTAATTGTAATGTGTAATTGTAGTAAAAAAAAGAGTAAAAAATATATAACATATAATAAATATAATTTAGTTGTTAATCTTCAAGCTACATCCCTGAATTGTTCTCATCACTGTCTTCATCTTCCTTAGTGAAGACGTCTTCTTTTGGTTGTATTAATTTTAATGCTTCTATTGGCCATTTCGTTTTTGAAGTCATGCGAATATTTTTATTTGCAATAACAGGGTCAGAAGTAGACAGCAATCGATGAAATAAGTCACTATTAGTGTGATATCTGGATCGTTTCTGTGTATGGTCTCTTCTGAATAGTTTTACATATTTATTTTGAGCTTTCATAAATTCTTCGGAAAGACTGCCTATTGGGAGAAGCATACTTCTTACTATTATCGCTCCATGGATAAGGACCTTGTGGATGGATGGTGGCATATAATACCAATTATACTTGTCGACATATAATTTGGCAGTTTCTTCACAATATTTATTGAAGCAAACGTCATTTATTTCTCGGTTACTATTTACAACAGTCAATATGGTGGAAAATCGATTTATTAACTCTTCATTAACACTGGTAATTTCTGCAAATAATTGTACATTTTCGAAAGCACGTCTAGAAGTATTGCCATCATTTGTTGTGCCATATCCTTGTTTTGGTAAATCTACCAAGAATCCCATTTTATTTTTAAAATCCTCTTGCACTTTCTTTTTCGTTTTTTCTAATAATTGCTTATGAGAGAATTCTTCTAATTCCTTTCTTTTCAACGATGCTGTCCATTTTGTTAAATCTAGCCTATAAGCGATATGTAATATGCATTCGAAAAGTCGAATTCGGCAGTGTAAAGGTGAAAGACCGTATTTCATATAAACACTCTTCCCAGATGTCGACTTAAACACCATAAAAATGCAACTTGACGCACTGTACGTTTTACGTAAACTCCCGTAATACGCTTCTTGCCCTCTCCTGTGGAGAGTAGCAGCTAGTAGCAGGTAAAACTCGCGTTTTTCGTGTTTCAACCCACTGTGCGTCGTGTCACTTACCCAGATGCAGATCGGCTCGTCAAGCATGCACTGGAACAGTTCTTTCATGTGAACCGCGAAGTTCCGCGGTTCGGACGGCTCGTTCTCCCAGGCATCGAGTGGATTTACGACGTACGTGTGATTACTTTTCCACGCCGGGTCCTTGATAATCAGGACGGCGTAGTACACCGAGCAGGAGAGCACGGCGAAGCTAACGGCCGTGTACACCCGCAGATTCGGGATTGGGAGTCGGTCCAGAAATTCCATCGGCATTGTTATGGTTTCCTTTGCTTCTCCTGTAATCACATAAAATCGTAAGACAAAATGTCGATGTTACCCAAAAAATTAGTTAAAAATATGAATCTAGGGAATTACAGTTTTCGTCCTTATACAGGGTGCCTGAGATCTCAACTGCTTGTTGTTTGTCTATGTGTTTCATGATACATGATTGATGAAAATCTAGGATAAATTTAATTATTAGTTAAGNCTGTAGAAGTACAGTACTTTACAAAGGTTTTTGCAATTTTCTTATCGTGTTAGAGCGAAACCGTGTTATAGGATGCCGTGTTGTAGGAGGGTTCGCGCAATTTACGAATCGTGTTATAGCGAAACCGTGTTATAAGACGCCGTGTTGAAGGAGGGCTATCTGTACGCATCCCGGGTTATTCAGCGGTCCACGGAGTGATCGCGATTTATTACAAGCAGTGATGGATAGGAATCAACAATCTCCAAGTCAGTATCTTCACGTTTTCATTCAATTTATTATTCAAATAAAATTTTTAAAAACACAACACAGCAAACTCTCATACTTGGAACAAAATAATTTTAAATTTTTACAAACGTTGAACCGAAAAGAAAATCCAGGACTCAAATTGTTTTAAGACTAAGAAAAACAGATACAACTAAGCTCTCTACCTTTTTTAAAGTCATAACTACAATATCTTACATGTTTATAAATACCAAGCTAAGACTAGCAACAACTTAATATTTACGAATAATCATAATTTAGCTTGAAAACAACACGACAAACTTTCACGTTTTTATCCGAGTGAATTCGAATTTTCGCAAACTCTCATCCGAACGAAAAGAAAGTCACGAGCTCAAATTGTTTATGAAACTAACAGATGCGACTAAGTTTTTTTTTTCTTTTTTTAAAACTGCAAGATCTTTTACCTTTATAAGTACAGATAGCTACAGCTAGTAACAACTTAATCTTTGCAAACAATTATAAATAATCTAAAAAGGAACACGGCAAACTCTCACTCTTTAACACGACAAACTCCTATACCTAGCTATAAGTATAAAAAAAAATTTTTTTATCTAATCAACATCCCTCAGCATGGGCGATTCTTCCAAACGATATCGACGGACTTCTGTCAGGGATGCTCCTCACGTCGCCGCCGTAAATATTTCACAATATTTGTTCTCCCATTTGTAGCCGCAATGTGTAACAGACTCTGACCATCTACGTTCTTAACGTTCATATCTAAATCGTGCCTGAGGAGAAATTGAACGATTTTGAGATTCGGTCCTTTGGCAACAAAAGGTAATGCAGTTCATAAATTAATATTTCTAACGTGTATATCGGCTCCTTGTCGAAGATAACTCTTTAAGTCTTCGATACGTCCCATTTCTAATGCTGCAAACATTCCTTGTTCATTATCGATAGTGATAAGGCTTTGACTACATTTATTTCCAACTTTCAAATAATCATCTTTCGTCGATTTTCCAATTTGTTTCTTATTTTCCATTATATTCTCGGAAACAAGCTTGTTAGCATTGAAGATAACATTTAACGAGGGATCTGATGACAGTATATTGTTTAAAGTATTGTCGTGTGCCAAATGATTGCACAAGCACCTTCCAGTTAACGAAGGAGAGCTATCGTCTAAAAAGAATGAATTGTTTTCTAGGTAACCTTCGTCTAGGATCGACATTACATCTAAAACAAATATTTCAATCACTGATTGCAACCTTCTATTGGTCTTATAAAAGTACAGGTCTTCAATTGAATTTTCCATCAATTTATTATCGGTTAAGACATTATTTAATTCAGCTAGCTTTAGGTGAAGATCATCATTATATTTTTCTTTTTTAATATTCAAATCTTCTTTTTGTTTATACACAGGAATAACAGAAGCTTTCTCGGTTAATTTTGTTATGAACTCTTCAATCCAGTTCATATTACTCATTAATTTCAAAATAAAGCATAGCGCTTATAAGATAGGAAGGAAATAAAGATAAAGCATAGCGTTTATTATAAAGAAATCAATACATACAAGATAATAATACATAGAATATAAGCATATTAAAAAATACATATGTATGTAGGAATTCTTTTTCAAGTTAGCATTATTTAAATAAAATAACATCATCTTCTTTTTAAAGAAATTTGGGATCGTTTTTCATTAACCAAATCTTCATGATTTGGTCGAATTTGTTGAGCTATAGTTATTTTTAAGATTGCTTGCACATACTTGTCTGTTAATCTTGATTTTTCCGCAGTCTTATTATTTTTTGAATCGGAAAATAGTTGTTTGCATAAATATGTGCTACCGAACATAGATCCGAAGATTTGAATATTAAAAAAAAAATATATATTGATGATCTTCACCTAAAGCTAGCTGAATTAAATAATGTCTTAACCGATAATAAATTAATCGTGATCATCTCTGGCGCCCTCGACTACCACTCGTGCTCAAACATCAACCTAGTCCGGAAACACCCATTTTCGGCCCTTGTCACTCTCCAATCCAGTTTATATTACTCATTTTGGTTTTAATAATGCGACAAATTTTGTAAATTATACTGCGTACTTTATCAGAATCGTCATCCAGAATTCTGAATTCGAGGTTATGGAGAATTGACTGCCACAATTCAGCGATTTTTCCAAGGTCACACGATTCTGCTAAAACCGTTAAGTTTTTCAATTCCTTAGCAGTGAATTTTGTACTTCTAATAATATTATTGTGGATCTTTGTGTTACTAATATGTTGAGTGAGCTTTCTCAACATTTCAAATTTTACCAAGTATTCAATTTTCATGTTTACCCATTTACTTTTCAACGCATCGATTATGCACTGGATTCTATCGAAATGCTCTTGCTCGTCTTCAGTCTTTTCAGTTATGATCTTATTTAGTTCTTTGGAAAGGTTCTCAAGCTCATCGCACTCCATTGTCTGGAACTCTTCCTCCATTATATCAAACTTACTGCCGGTGTTAAAGAACACTTCTTCAACTTCTTTTATTTCATCCATGCACTCACAGTTCTCAATTTTTTTGAACAGTGTATTGATGACTTTCATTTTCTCCTTATGAAGACTATTATCGATGTCATCGTCAATCTTCTTAATATCATTTTGAACACCAATAAAAAATTTAACATTCATACTTTTTTCGATTGCTGTTCTTCTCGCTAGTGAGTGAGCATGTGACAGTGAGTCACGCAGATCCGTAACGATTTTTCTCGTCTCTTTAGGTAACGACAATAGCAGGAGTTCGTTCGTGAAATCGGATAACTTTAGACACATCAAATTATTTTTTAGATGTTCCCCGACGACTTGTAAAATTCTTGTCATGATCAGTCGCCCCTGTTTCTCGTCTGGATCAATTAATGACGCTAACTGTACATAATCCCTCATTTTTTGTAAAGAGTAGATGTCTCTAATTTGATGAAAGTCGGTGCACAATTCTTTGAATTGAGGATAATTACTAATTACTTTTGCAACAATTTCCCGCCGTTTCCCTTTTGGGAGATAAGTGAACATATCGGGCTCCTTTATGTTTCCAAGTACCTCTGCAAAATTTTCCAGATAATCAAGCACTTTGCTTTTGTTTAATACAGCTCGATAAAGTAAATTCAGCTCTTGTTGTTTTACGTGTGAAGAAACAAAATTAACTAAACAAAACTCTATTTCTACCCAAGGTATCTTATCATATGTCGACCTCAATTGCTGTTTTAAGATATGGACATTTTGCGCAATAAATTTTGTTACGAATAGAAATTTATCATCTACCTTCTTCGTGTTCCGATATTCTGTCTTCAGTAAATTTATATTTTAGAGCACCAATTTAATGCGGTTATTCACGTTATCACGATCCTCATTCAAACTTCTATTTCCATTAATATTATCAGAAAAAAAAACGAAGATTTATTAACTTCTTTTCAGTATAAACTTGTATTTCATCCGATAGTGACACATTCTTTAACTTCAATTCTTCGTAGGCGCTTGAAAGAACGTCATCTAATTGCTCTAAATGAGTCACTATTGCTGAGTATGTACTTTAGAATGTCAACTTTGTTATATTTACAAACTAAGATAACTAAATTGCTGTCTTTTATAGGGTTCTCNAATATAATGATGATCTTCACCTAAAGCTAGCTGAATTAAATAATGTGTTAACCGATAATAAATTGATGGAAAATTCAATTGAAGACCTCGGTTAAATGTCTACGGCACTACTCGTCCCTTATCACCGATAATTGCCAGTGGAGATGTCACAAGTAGATAAAGAAAAAGAAAAAGTACGACATGAGTCATAAAGATAGATAGATATGAAAGAAGTACTTACATATCGTGCGTGAAAAAAGTGATCATACTATAATGCAAATTCGTCGTAAAAATGGGAAAGTCCTTATTCCTCTATTTGATTTGAAAAAGGCTTATACAGGATGTCCCAGAACTACTACTACGCCCGAAAATGAGGAGGAGCTGAGGTGATTTTAAACAACTTTTTTCTTTGCAAAAAAGTTATCCGAGGCGTGGTTATTGAGTTATTAACAAAAACCCCCGCACAATCAGAGGGCGAGTATACAAGGCGGGCAGGAGCGCGGCAACCGCTTCGCGCGTTGCCGCGCCCGTATGTCCCGCTCGTGACGACAGCATAGAATTAAAGAAATGTTGCATGCAAAAACGAACTAATAAATTGGTTAATTATCAGAAGAAAGAAAGGGATTGGTCGTTACTTACGTTCACTGAACGAATGTAACATGCTCAATGAAATAACACACAACTTTACAAATTACAGGATAGGTAAAATTATGAAAAATGTGAAAAGAATCAGAGTTGAACTTACTTCTTCGTTGGTCAGTGCACCTGCTCGTAGAAGAACGTCAATGGGTCAATGGGTCGACCTTCGGCACTCGAAGATAGGACACATGGCTCGCAGCAGCTGATGCTTGGAGTAAGTCAGTGACCTGCACACGACAATTTTTTCCTTATCATCACGATCATTGTCACTTTCCCACTGACAAATTTTCACAAAACAAAAATTTTCACTTTTACACTTTCCAAATTCACTGCCACTTTTCATGTTACAAATCCACTGTCACATTGCACTTTGCAATTGAAAATTTGCATACACGTTTTTATTTTAATTGTTAATTCTGATCGCGCGAGGCGGTTGCCGCGCTCCTGCCCGCCTTGTATACTCGCGCTCTGATTGTGCAGGGATATTTGTTAATAACTCAATAACCACGCCTCGGATAACTTTTTCGCAAAGAAAAAAGTTGTTTAAAATCACCTCAGCTCCTCCTCATTTTCACACGACAGTCTATAAGAAAAATATTGCCTACAGTTGGAGAGACTAATGAGTTGATCTCTGCGACCTGAGCACAAGATTTAAAAACAGTGATTTAATTAATAATAATTCCCCATAGGCCGGACGATATAGAGGGACTGGTTATGAGAAGAGAAGCTGACATGAATGCCCAAAACAAAGTTGATGAAACGGCACTGCGCGTAGCCATTCAGCAGGGGCACAAAGATATCGTACTACTCTTCATAGATCAGGGTGGCGATGTCAACGTGAAAGATAAATTCGGCCAGACACCGCTTCATTTTGCTGTGCAAAGAGGACGAGAAGAAATTTGCAGGTTGCTGATCGAGAGAGGGGCTGACGTGAATGCCAAAGACAAAAATGAACAAACGGCACTGCACCTAGCCATTCAAGAGGCACGCATAGATATCGTACAAATCCTCGTAGATCAGGGTGCCGATGTAAATTTGAAAACTGAGGGGGGTCAGACACCGCTTCATTTTGCTGTGCAAACAGGACTAGAAGGAATTTGCAGATTGCTAATCGAGAGAGGAGCTGACATGGATGCCCAAAACAAAGGTGGTGAAACGGCACTACACCTAACCATTCAGAAGGGACACAAAGATATCTTCCAACTCCTCGTAGAGCAGCGTGCCGATCTCAACTTGAAAACTCTGTGGGGCGAGACGCCGCTTCATTTTGCTGCGCAAACAGGACTAGAAGAAATTTGCTGGTCGCTAGGCGTGATATTAGCTACCGTGAATACCCGAAACGAAAATGGTGAATCGGCACTGCACCTAGCCATTCAGAAGGGACACAAAGGTATCGTACAAATTCTCATGACACATGGTGCACATATCAACTTGAAAACTCGGTGGGGCGAGACGCCGCTTCATTTTGCTGTGCAAACAGGACTAGAAGGAATTTGCAGATTGCTAATCGAGAGAGGAGCTGACATGGATGCCCAAAACAAAGGTGGTGAAACGGCACTACACCTAACCA